CATATTAATATGACAGCCAAATAATACTCGGTCAACTCCCAGTCTAAGTCAGAACATGCTCCTGGTTCTTATTGGTTTCGACAAATTTGTCTGTGATAACCAACAGAGAAATCAGATAAGTAAATCACATGATAAAATCTTCCTCCGCAGTCAAACAAACCCATGATCAGCACTAATTTATACAGATATTAATTTAGTCGCGTGTCGCGAATTCTGTGACAGGCGTGTCGCTAATTTTGTTACAAGCGCAGCAACGTGTCGCAAAATATGTGACAGCACAAACGCTAAATTAATTGTCCTTCATAGTATAATAATTTATATAGAAGCGTGTCGTTTTTCTTGCGACGAAAAAATATATAAGTAGCTCTCCATCGTCAAATCTTCATGTTGTCATGAACATCGAACGCGAATGTTGTAATGTTATGTGTTGTAAAAACATCAAAAGTTGAAATTTTTATGTATGAATAAATAAAATATTACTGATCTTAGTAATATTCTCCCGAAATCCTTTATTATAAATAAATACTCTATCGTCGAAATAATTGATTATTAGACCGGACACTCCACTTAAGCTGTAACGGAATAGCATTGATTTGATCAAGCCAGTAAGCTTTCCGCGGATCAATTACGTGAATAGCGGAACGAGAGTTTATAATTAATTATCGAGACGAATATTGTTTAATTAGTTTAGTAAAGATAAGTGACGGATACCCGACGTCGGAAAAACAAATCGAAGATAGCCTTGTTTAAATTTTAAAATTAGTATTATTCCCCTTCGATTTTTTGATAGAATAATTGTCGTTATTACTCTATTAGAGGTACCCTTATTTGTATTCACGAGTGTTTGAAACTCGGATAGGGAGTGAGAAGCGCACATAATTAAAACAGGTCACTTGAGGCTTAATTGTACAATTATCGTAGTAAGGGCGATAGTACAAGCTAAGCCTGGTAACATCCCTCGGTCGGCGAACACACCTACACGAAGATAAATCGTTCTCCCACAACCCCATTTAATTACCGACCGTAACATTAACAATCTACAATTAAAAATTGTTAAAATACTTTACAAAAATAAATCGTTATAAACGTAATTTACTTACGCTGCAGTCATCAACACTCTAGCATTTGAATCCTGTTTAATCACACATTCAGGTCTACAGGAACTGACAATTGCTTTTAGATGAGTTTCAATTACATTGGTATCAGCTGATCCACCTTCTCCAGTCTTTTCTAGTTTGTCGTAGAAAGGTTTTCATAATTAAATATACATAGTAGATAAATATAAAATATATACCTGTTTTTAAAGCTTTGAAGCCATTCGGAACGAACAATTATGTCTGAGAGGAATACGGCCGGTAATTTATCAAAGTTGAAGTGTGCACCGTGCCCATTCTCGGAGCGCAGGCTCAAGTTCGGGATATTTTACATTGCGAGATTTTTGCAGTAAATTGGTTTTGTTGTCTCAATACTCGGATGAGCGCGTCGTTCTGGATCAACTTCACGCCAACCGGTTTTACGCGGTCTTGTTTACTACATGTGATAAATCATGTGATAGCGTATTAGTGAGGAATGCTAACTCGGTATGACTGTTAATACGTTCGTCGGTGTATCGGTGTGTCGATATGTCGGTACAGTATTCGGAACAGAGCTCCTTTTCCATCTTTTCTGTTGAACCGTGCAAACTTTTTCGTACTACATTTTAAGTAAAGTTTTTTTCAGACCATACATATCACATCTACTATGATGATACCAGAATAGGATATTAATATGGCGCTTCCTTTGTTTAATGACAAAATTATAGTCGACGCTAGTCTAAAAGTCGAATTTTGTGTTAGTTATAATGCGATGATGATTTGATGATGGTCATTCGATATGCAGAGTATGCCGTGCCACCATAAAAAAAAGTGAACTCGCAAACATGCAGGTACACATCCCATAACAAGTTTTGGTGCCGACAAAGAAATCGAATAACTATTTTGGATGGTCTAGATTTTTTGTTCACATGAGAGGATATCACGCCAAAAGGGAAGTGAAAGGAAACCATGCCAGCAGCCACCTAAATAGTTGAGGTCAAATTATTGCAGGGGTAGTCAATTTTCGAGCCACATTTACCTGATTTGTAACTCGTACTACTATATACGATTTTGCTACGTATATATAACCTTGCTAGTGTGCAAGACCTTTCTCTTTTGCGTCAAACTATTTCGCTTGTTTCAGCAAAAAAACACACAAAAAACACTAAAAACTGGCCTTCCTATTCGTACTGTTGAAATATTCAGAAGCTCAAAGAAACTGGTGCCATTGAACGTAAGCATGTCAGCATCAGGCCCTCAACAAAAACAATATTTACAAGTGAGACGGCTTTCCTTACATCGGTTGAGTGGGCATAAGCATAATAATATGTCAAAATGCAGCATGCAAAAGTGGGGTGGGATTTCTTTAAAAGGTAAAGCATCCTTGCTTGCTTCACAGACATTATGGATATAAGCTTGTCAAGTTCAAACCGACTAATCGTTTGTTTCTCAAAGGCCACCTCAAGTGCGAAACATACCACGTTTATCGCAAACAACGTATGCCACAGGCCTGGGGAAGATTGAGCGAAGATGAAAAGCTCATTTACTATCTGGCAGCTAACGTGGTGGAAAAGAAATTTTACGAGGACAATCCGGGCTATGTGTATAGGCCAAAATAATGACCTACCAACCCGGATGAGCCTCAAGACCAAGGGGAGTTTGCCGAGGTCTATGAAAGTCTTTTGGATCTAAACATTAGAAACATTAGCGACCCGGCGGACGCGATATATTTTGGAATGGTTTTTCTTGGAATGGACCATAATTCGTATTGTGAAACAGTGTAGAATTTGCTTGGGGTGGTTAGCAAAGCTTTATCGATAACAATGCGATAGTCCTGTCTAGACGTGCAAGACCATTGGTGGATTAAAACAAAGATGTAAAATTTGTCATAGAAAATAAAGGAGATCGAATTTCATATTAAAATTTATTTGGTTGATAAAATCGTCTCGACTACAAATGGATATGTTCTACTTTAGAAAAATCACATGGGATTTTTAGTGCTTACTCAGGATTCTCTCGACTTCTTAGATAGTATAACCCTTACACATCGACTCTGTCCCAATAGCAAATGGTGTCATTTACGACGACCCGTTTGTCAATAGGGAAACAAGTCTCGTGAAATCTACGCCGCGATTAAACAAGACAGTGTGGGGGACTTTCTCTCTAAACCTTCAAACATCGAAGTGCTAAAGGCCTTTGTGAGACTTTTCGATTTCAAGGGTGGTGTAAGTCTAGAAGACGACCATCATGGCCCTTTTTCCTCTTCATAAATTGAGTCCAGAAAAGAATCGATGAAGCTAGAGAATCTTTTCGACTGCCGGGAGATTGAGAGAATAACGGAGACTTTTGCAACAGCTTATTTTGCTTCGGGCCACGTACGTTGATGCTTATTGTTATCAATATGCGGTTATTTATCTTGTATTGTTGTGGCTGTCATATACAAAGCGACGGCTGAGTGACCAAGACGTCATTCTATTTGATGGTAGATTGATAGATGATAACCTGGCGATCTCTATTAAGGTAAAGTATTCGATGATTGTAAAGTCATTTCGATCAACATGTTAAAGATGTATTATATTGTATCAGATTTCCGAAGGCGGAGTCAATGAAAGAAAGATGTCCCAATAGACACGGTTTTTATCCAGACCGAACCGCATTCACAGAGAATCAAGGTTAAACTGACTATACAAAAGGAAATCCGTGCATCGACTATATTACAACAAGCGTTCGAAATCGTGTATATTGTCAGTAACCAGCAGTGTGGTGATTGCACGAAAGTATGACAATTTTGTGATAATAGTCCGTATGACCTTACTATAGTTCTGCAATGTCTCGATTATTAAGGTAAGAATTAGTTGTCTTAATCACTGGATATCCATTATATAATGGGAGATAGATCTTGCCTACCAAGTTTTAAACAATGGATTTTTATTTCTAATAACCCCGCGTTTCCGATTGCAATTGCTATTTAATAGAAGAATGGCAGTGAAATACCGTCTGATATTAGTCACCAAAGGAATAAGTAGATTAATCTTGTGATGGGCTCTGTTCATGTTAAGAGTAACTAGACTGTAAACCCGGAGCAAGTCCAGGCGGAAAGTTGTATGGCCAGACAGTCTCGTGGATAAGGCGATATGTACATTACTATAATTGGTAATAGAACTTGTCCATGAACTTTTTACTACTTGTTACTAATCTGTTGGTGACAAACGCCGTTCTAGACGCTAACCATATCCATCTGGCTATAATTTAGAATGATCTTTCATTGTTCGCATGTTAAACTGCTAAGGCTATTCGAATCTATCGACGTAACTATGTCGCGAGCTATGAAGAAAACAGGCCGATTTATCGAAGGTGGAGGGGTAGATATATAGAAGGAGTGGTGAGCATAGTTCACATATCGTGTATTGCTACTTGCATTATTTATCCTCATTCACTAAAAGTCATTTTCTCGTTGAATGTTACAACTCGAAGTTGGCTCGGCCATCGTAAATTAGGACGTATGAGAAAGTAAACCGCCTGTAAGGGGGGTATGATAAAGTCGTTCAGGTTTGCATCAACAAACACTTGTCTATTTCACTCCTAGGCATTGCATCATAGAATTAATATATGTTTTTTTGTCTCTTCTTCGTAGAACATTCACAGAATATGTTCGAATCTGTACCGTTCGACCTTTGTCCTCAGTTGGTACGTACGTACTTGAAACCGTACATGCAGAACTGGTTTCATTGTAGACAGGTAATTATTTGATTACTCGTGGCTTACATAATTTGGCACACTTATACATATAGTAACATTACCTTCTATTTGTTTCAGGCGAGCAGTAGCTAAAGTTGAACGAAGCTCGAGCTGATGCTTTCAAACCGTTCTTTCAATCGGTCTCAGAGACTCTGTAAAGTGCTTCAGACAATAGATTGACCGAACCCTTATATGTCCTAGCAACAAAAGGAAAAGAGCTTGAGCACGTTTGCCAATTCGTATTTCCCTTCAGTTGCATGCTACGCTTTGGGCGATTTAGTCTACACTTTATTACGTCATCGATTTCAATTGAAAGCCTATCAGGCATTTGCAAATTGTAATTGACCACGGAGTTGTCTAATGTCGGGCAGCGTAAGCCCTTATTGTTAGTGCAAACGCGTTTTGCAATTGATATTGTGTGCGCGATGCCTTTTATTCTGGTAAGATTAAGAAAGCATTCGCAAGTGGAGTTGGCTCACCCGAGATTAGTGGAAGTACGCGTGAGATATTAATATGTACCCGTCCTGCCATTCCGCTCCGATTGAGGTAATAGTAAATTAAATGTGAATCACTTGATAATAGTTTATTATATATTAATATGCTCTGAACATTCAATTACTGTGAACACTTGTGAAAGAAGTATGAAGAACTCGAAGAAATAATTCCCAAGTCTCCCGACACATATTGAAAGACAGTAGCAGTCATTGATAATTAATAAATCATTATAAGGCTATATTGACGTATTTAGACGACCTATTACAGGATTTAGGAAATGTGCCCACGCTAACTAAATTCCTAACGGAAACCCTTTGTTAACTATATTATTTCCACCAGTGCTGTAACTTGATTGTATTGAAGACTCAAACAGCTAAAGGAGGAATCTGGTTCTAAAGCTTGGACCAAAGTTTTGAAATCATTTGGTTCCATCTCTAACATAATAATAATGTATTGTCCAAGTTTATATTATATATTCTTAATGCAGTTACGTCATTCGGTAAAATGTCTAATAATTTACCGAGGCCTGGAATTCCATATCACATAGTAGTTAGCCTTTTCTCTTAACGTAACTGCACTATCTGGTTCAATGTTTAATGATGCATTAGATCATATAACGCATCATCGTGCCGTTTGAGATTGCTGAAAACTTTCCCCTTAGCCTCAGCGCAATGGCATCGTTGTTTTATAACCGATTAAGGTTGTTTAAAGCATCGCCATATTGTTAATATTGTCGAAGACTTCTTTAAGCAGAATTTTCGCTCTTGTAATTGGTCGAGGAGACTTTGGGATGTTGCGACTGTGAATGCTGTGCTTGATGCTGCCGCGTTTGTATTTGATGCTGTTGAGCTCGTTTTCGATGCTGCTTATCTGCGTTGTGTTTTGCGTATGTTGCGTTTGGGGAAAATATTGTGTTTGGGCAAACATTCTCGGTTTTTGTGATAATTAATATATTCAAGGAAGTTAATATGTGAATGTTATGTTTGCTTTGAGTGCAGAACCTGAGTTTACTCATGTCATTATATACACCCGTCCCCAAAAATCGTGTACACATGTCCCTTTATTCGTCTGCTTTTGTAATGACAATAACTTGCTAAACGTAGATCACTCAACCTGAAAATAGCAATGATATAAGGGAGGCGATTCCCGAATAGTGTATAACGACAATGGATTGATATTGTTCCTTGTATGCAACATCGGAATGGCCCTTGATTTCCCTTTTATTCGTCTGCTTTTGTAATGACAATCTTGCTAAACGTGGATTTCCTGAAAATAGGCAATGATATGTAAGGGATGGCGATTCCCAAATAGTGTATAACGACAATGGATTAGATATTGTTCCGTATGCAACATCAGAATGGCCCTTTATTCGTCTGCTTTGTCTATGTTACACCGCATTATTTTAGCATATTTGCGCAGAGACAACGAAAAATTCGTTAACCACACCCATGTCTTGATATGAGCCGGCTGTTAGCATCGTCACCAAAGTGCACGGAGAAACAGTGTATACGATATACAGGTGCCGTGCGATCAAAACGCGTAAACGTTAACTATACCAGTAACAGCTATACCGAACGATCTTATATTGTTGCGTTCGTCTAATTACTGGTTCGCTTTCAGATAAAACTAGAATAGTGCCCTCATGCGTAGTGAAATGTTCGATAGTATACGTTTTTATTTTTTGCCATTTTTTTCGTGACACACTGTAACAATGTTTTTAGTTATTTGAATGACTCCAAAGTTATTTGGCACAGAAACATACGATGTAATATGAGTGTGTAATAAAATTAATAAAAATTAGCCCCTGTTGTTACACCAAGTTGTTATTTACATATATTAATACAGGCTTCATCCAAAAATCGTGTGACTGTGAAGTTTTGCGTTCTTTTATTGTCTACACCTACGATTGAACGCTAAAGGTGTACCTTCGACAAACGAACGGGAAGCCGAAATAAAAAGACGCCCGGTTTTTTTGCCTCTCAAAAATCTCATCTCGAAGATCAAGTCTAGTGGAGGAATTGCGGATAACAAATCGAAATGGCGATATTTGTAAGTGTCTACTATTAGATTCGATAAATAGAAATTTACGTTATTACTCTCAATATCGAAATAACTTTCCCTATTTCCGATATGCTTACCTTACCGTTTACTCTATTTATCAGATCAAAGCGTTAATATCAGTCAGATTTGTAACAAGATTACCAACCATCACTTTCGGCAACTCCATTGCTCGTAATAAGGAGCATCTATTCAAGATCACGGGGTCAGCATGCTCGGAAATAACGCGCGTTAGCACACCGAGAGTTATTATATTGCGCTCTTATCTCAGCAGCTTGTGCCCGCGAAATAATTATTTAATCCTGGCTTTGTCAAGGTTTTAACCATGAACTATTGGACGAGTTTATACAAGACACGGCTTTAAAGTACATGCAGTATAGCGACTCCCCCAGCAAAGCTAGCTATTTTCGACCAATGTCCTTCCTACAGTCTTGTCTCCCCACCCATACACTATTGGACGAGTTTATACAAGATACACATGCAGTATTGGACAAATTTATACAGGATACAGCTTTAAAGTACATACAGTATAGCGACTCCCCCAGCAAAGCTAGTAAACATCAGCAAGTTGTCTATTTTCTCAGTTTCAATACAGTAACCAAGCAAGTGTTATAGTTTATTTTTTATTTTAGTACATACAAGATAGATTTTACATTTACTTAAAGTAATATTTAACGCTAACTTTACTTTGCTACTCATCGGCGATATATTTTTTGTCGGGGAAGTGGCGTTTATATATGTAAAAAACTATCAATTTATTAACCAATTGTAATTTTTCTATAGTAATAGATAATTCGATTAAGACAAAAGAAAACCCTTTACAATCAAAAATAACATTTGTGTCTAGTAATAAAAGATTGTAGCAAGAAGTAATCTTGCCAAGTAAGTTCAAAATATTTACGTGAGAAAATGTTATCGACATTAAACTCACAACTTGTAAATGCCGAGGTATGCGCAATTTCGCTGGTAATATCCGGCCAGCCTTAGGGGAGGGTTGTGAAGAAGTTGTTATTTTTACGATTGGCGAAAACTTCTCAACGCGAGACTGCATCCGTTGTTTGGCTGAATCTGTAATGATTCGTTTAAGCAATCTAATGCTTTTTGGTGTTGCATTAGATTGCAATAAACTTCTCAAGTCATTTGCTTGGTTTAGCGTTGTCCGGTTCAAGTTCCAGAGATTTACCAAGGCCTTTTAATGCTTCCTTATTTTGTTTATCCCTGAAATAGTTAGCCCTTCTATTTCTCATCTCAAGCGCGTTGCCCTGTGGAATAGTTGATTGCGTAGAAAGCAACGCGACTGCATCGTTGGGATTGATCATGAATGATCACCCAGCGCATCAGCATACCTGCTGAGATTGCAAAAGACTGCACCTCTCGTCCGTAGTGCAATTCCGTCGTTTGGCTGAATTCGTTTTTAAGATTTTTGGTGTTGCATTAGATTGCAACAAACTTCTCCTTTTAGCCTCAAGTCATTTGCTCGAGTTGGTTCAGCGTCAAAAGCATGCTGATGAAGCATACTATTCCGAACGCTACAGCATTGTCCGGTTCAAGTTCCAGAGATTTACTAAGGCCTTTTAATGCTTCCTTATATGTTTATCCTAGCCCCTCAAGCGCGTCGTCCTGTAGAATAGTTGATTCCATAGAAAGCTTGCAGTTGAGATTTGAAATTGAAGAAGCGAGCCAAGTTGTCCGTAAATTCAAGAGCCGTTAGGGAATTTCCATGAAATAAGCGCATAAAGATAACGAATGTCTGTATTATCCTTGCTGAAAATGAAGTTATCGGCAAGTGCCAAAGTGGTTGGGAAAAATTGAGCTGTAATGTGAATTTCGCCTTTGATGCCTTTACCGTCAACGCGGTTAACTTTCTCCCATTTGTCGAGTTCTTTTCCGCTCTTGTATTTTCCCTTCTTACTCTTAACGCTTAATTCACCAGCATTTAACACATAGAAACCGAGGTAAGTATCTGACACAAAGATTTTCGTCAAAGATCTTCAAGGTGATCTTATCGTTTGGTCCATAAACTGAACACATAATGCACTTCTTCCCAGACTGGATTGTTCGTCGATGGCGCTATTTTCGTTCTAGCGATTTCCTTGGCAGTGGCGTCAAAAACGATAACACATGGATCATTCGATTGGAACCAACCACCACTTTGGAGCCCCTTTGCACGATCAATTTTTATTTTGAGAATTCCAACGGCTTGTCTCTCAGAAACTTCTACCACAATAGTTTCGTCTTCTTCTGTAAATTTTTCAAGTTTCTTCTTAACTTTTTCAGAGACAGTATCTTCAGTAATTGTCGGAGAGTTTCTTCATCGACTTGATAACGTTTGACAACGAACATTCTTTCTGCTTCGAGAAGCTCTTTTTCTACTTCTTTGTTGTTAATTTGTGCACTTATCCAGGCGGACGACTTCTCGCCCATTTGTCTTTGTGATCGACCATGGTATATCAGAAGTACCAGAGAAGAATTGCCGTTCTGTAGATATGGACATCGAGTTTGGCGACTTTGGAATAGGATGAGAAGTGGGTCTGCACTCTTTTTGCGCTATTCCTGTTGACTCGAATCAGCAAGATGGGTGTCGAGCTTGTATGAACCTGTTTCGCTTTGATAAGACGAATGACTTGGACTGTGATAGTGCATCGAGTGGTGATTGTCTTCTTCTCAACAATTCCAAAGCTTTGTGCTTTCCCATTCTGTGATGTTTGATAACGTAGCGATTCACTTCTGCGTATAGACTCTTCAATTTCTACATCATTAATTGATTCACTAATCCATGTTTCCGTTTTTGTGTACGATGATATCCGTGCTTCCATAAGAGAGCCCTGAGGAATGATGTGATAAAGACTGAAACGATTTGTCGAGTTTTTTAAGAAGTGCTGGAATGTAACGACAGGATAAGCTCTTCAACCGATGAATAGTTGAAAAGTCCGGCAATACGTTGGTCAGACTCAAAGCTTCCGTTCGCACGTTGAAGTGCGATGAGGAGATGAATATATGACGGATAGAAACGGTCTTGGCGTCAATTCGTTTAGTGTCCTTGCCTTCAAGTACGTCAGCAGGGAAAATTTCGGCAATAAGGTGGAGCTGGCCTTTCACTGATTTCCGGAGTTGAAGGTTGACTTCCTTACCGAAATTTTTCCCTTCAAGACTTCCATTGAATTTTACTTTGATGATTTTCTTCAAGTCAAACGTGTATGAACCCAGGGGTAACATTCTCGAAGAATGCGTTACAGTCATTGACTGTAAATTTGAATTTTTCTTGCTTGTCGTAAACAGGTATATAGAATATTTGATCCCATCTTGGGGTAGTAGTATTGTAAATAGTCTTAGTTTCAGCATATTCCCAACCGGACTCCGGGTTAGAGATCTTAACACAAGGATCCGAAATGCCACCTCCAAACCAAGATTCGGCCTTTGGAAGGTCCTTCGCATCGACAACGTGGAAACGCACAATACCAATTAAATTTGGAGCAGCTACAGAAATCATCGTATTGTCAGCAGCAATTATTAAACTCTAGAAAAATCAATACAATTATTAGCTTACCAGCAGTGGATTTACCACCAGATATGACAAATGTTTTGCCTTCCCTAATCGCTTTTCTTTTCTCTTCAAATTACTAACGAATTGAACATCATCTTTGTGGGTTTGTTCATCGACTACATAGTATTCCGTTACGAAGGAACTGATAAGAGCAAATGCCTCTTTTTCAACAGACTCCTTGCCTTTAAATTGGCTCCATAACCACCGATATGAAATTTCGTATTGAGCTTGCCATTCTGTTTGATGATCAATAGCAAGTAGACGATAGTAATGTAACAGCAAAATAGTGACCCAAGCAGTTGTGTCGAGACGCGAGGTATCGCTTTTGCCATGTTTCTTAATATAAGCCGTTAGTAATTGTTTCTCACTGCTGAACCCAATTGATACAACAAGTTCGTCGTTTATTTGGAAAGCCCCAGTCTTGAACTGATGTTTGACGTGCGAACAACATGAGTCTTGGTAATAGTCTTTCTGGTATTAGCAGTAATAGTCCGTATCCCACAGTTATCTTCTCGTTCCAATTCAGCTAAACCCCTCTTTTCGATTCCATATTCTGCGTGATCGATGACTGAGTAAAGTATTTTACAATACAGTGCTGTTCGAATATATTTTTCGGTTTTGTATCTGGTTCGCTCTCGTCAGCCTGAATGAGGGTGACCAATTTTGCAGCTTAGTGGTAGCATTTTAAGGAATAAAGTTTTTTTCTTTATCGAGCACTTACCATTTTGCTTTCCCGTTGACGCCCATGGATTATTCTCGAGGCCAGACAGTAGTGCTAATCGGATGCGGTTGTTAGGAAGCTTTGCCATTAGAGTGTGACATACTTGATTTTTCTATTTTATGATCTCTAATCTCCATTCCAATCGCCTATATCCAATTACAATTGCCATGGTGAGTAGATTCACATGCAATGAAATAGACTGATTCAACCCTTACCAGAAAAAGAACACTGCCTGCTAATTACATTCTCAAGTTACGTTTCCACCCCCCCAAGACGTCTAGCTTTGTGTCTGGAATAAATTGCTTAGAGTATCCATCGTTCACCTCCCTTCTGGCTGTTCCGATGTTACAAGAACCGAATAGCATAACCGTTCCTCTACGGTATCACTAACGCTGATCGCAAAGCAAAGCCTGATAAAAAGAAAGCTTAACTTAGTGCGCAATAAGAGGATCATATCCCATGTTGCAAGGACAGAGAGGAAAGGACGATATGAATTCATACAGTTCATTACATACTGCGTGATCGATGATCGGGTAAAGTATCCTACCCATCTATATATACAGTGTTGTTCGAATGTCTTTCGGTCTTGTATCTGGTTCCTCTCCCGTCAGCCTGAATGATGGAGACAAATTTTACAGCTTAGTGGTAGCGTGTTAAGTAATATACAGCTTTTTTGTTCATCGAGTACTTACCATCTTGCTTTCTTGTTGCATCCCAGGATTATTCTTGGCACCAGAAGCTAATCGAATGCGGTTGTCATTGGGGAGCTTTTACCATTAGAGGGTCGGCATACCATAGTATGATCTCTAATCTCCATCTCCAATCGCCTATTTCAAGCAATAATAACGCTCAGAATCGAATAGATTCATTCACAGAAGAAGCGCACTGCCTACTAATTGACATTCTGAGGTTATGCCTCCGCCTCATATACGTCT